CCTAATATTCAAAATAATCTTCTGTCTATACTGATAAGATTCAGACAACATCGCTATGTAGTATCAGCGGATATATGTAAAATGTACCGGCAAATACTGGTCAGGCCAGATCAAAGACGATTTCAGCTGATATTCTGGAGATCAGATCATTCAGAACCTCTTCGTTCATACCAGCTGAATACAGTCACGTATGGGACTGCTTCAGCAGCTTATCTTGCAGTCAGGTGTTTGCACCAACTAGCTATCGAGAACGAGCAGCAGTTTTCACAAGCATCGCATATCATCAAGACAGATTTTTATGTCGATGACTCGTTAACAAGCTCAAATTCTCTTGAAGAATTGGCAACACTATGCAAAGACATATCCAATATCCTAAGTCAAGGATGTTTCGAACTAAGGAAATGGGTTTCAAATCATCCCGACATACTTTCAGACATGCAATGCTCATCTTCAGAGCACAGTACGCTTCAGTTGGGTTCCCACGAAAACTCCAAAACTCTAGGTTTACTGTGGCAGCCTCAAAGGGATAAACTCCTATTTAAAATCCAAGAGCAGACTGATTCTGGTCAAGCAACCAAAAGAGTCATATTGCTCAAATATATGATCCCTTAGGACTTCTCAGCCCATGCACGATCATAGCCAAGATCCTGCTACAAAAACTATGGCTAGAAAGGCTCACATGGGACGAACCAGTCTCCCAAGAAATCCATAGAATATGGAATCGGTTATGTCATGAACTTCCAAATCTGAACAATTTGGAAATTCAGCGGCACGTTCAGTACAACAATCCTATCATCATTGAACTTCATACATTCTGCGATGCCTCAGAAGATGCATATGGCGCTTCAGCCTACATTCGCAGCATAGATAGCAAGGGGACAGTATCAGTGCAACTGCTTTGCGCAAAGGCAAAGGTGGCACCTCTGAAGAGGACCACTCTCCCAAGACTTGAGCTCTGCGGTGCCCTAATCGCAGCCAAGCTAACAGAGACAATCATTCAGCCTCAGACTTTCAAGTTTCATAAGATCCAACATTGGACTGATTCAACGATAGTTCTTGGATGGATAAAGACAGCATCACATCTGTTGAAGACATTTGTGAGCAACCGGGTTGCGGAAATTCAGTCAAAAACAGACCCCAGTTGCTGGCATCATGTGAAGACTAAGGACAATCCAGCGGACATGCTATCCCGTGGAGTATCACCATGTGCACTACCAGATTCAGCACTCTGGTGGAAAGTTCCCCAGTGGTTGTCAGAGGACATCCTGAATATCCCAAGTTTATCTTCACTAACCAATGATCTGCCAGAATTGAAAGGTCATAAGACAGTCCTTACACTTCAGAATCTGGACATATTTCCCATTTCAAGGTTCTCTAGCTTGACAAGACTCAAGCGAGTCACAGCCTATTGTCTAAGGTTTTCACACAACTGCAGGCACAAAAATGCTAGAAAATCCGAAGCTTTAACTTCAGACGAGTTATCCTTAGCTCAAAACTCAATCATCACACAAGTTCAAAGCAAGCATTTTGAACACGAGATGCGCAATTTACAGCAAAATAAGCCCATAGCAGCAGGAGCAAAATTCTCAAATTAGCTCCATTTATGGACAAGAACGGAATCCTAAGAGTGGGTGGCAGACTGAAATATTCCAGTATGAGTTACGACAGACGCTATCCTATACTTCTACCACCTGACAGCCATTTCACTACTCTTATCTGCAGACATTATCATCACCAGTTATTACATGCTGGTCCTCAACAGCTATTAGCAGCAATTCGCGAAAGTTTTTGGATCATATCAGCCAGACGAATTGTAAAAAAGGTAGCAAGTCGATGCATTACATGTTTTCGGGTCAATCCTGAAACGATTTATCCTTTCATGGGAAACCTTCCAAAGGAGCGATTAGAACCATCACCCCCCTTTCAAGTTGCGGGTGTAGATTATTTAGGTCACTTCATTCTACGCGACAAGAAAGGCCGTGGTTCTAAGGCATACAAGGCATGGGTAAGCTTGTTCATTTGTCTGAGCACTAAGGCCATTCATCTAGAGATTGCAACAGATGTTAGCAAAGATTCCTTCCTTGCAGCATTACGAAGATTTTGCTCCAGAAGGGGTAAGCCTACAAAGCTTTTTTCAGATAATGGTACTAATTTCATTGGGGCTAAAAATGAAATTCAAGAGTTCACAAAAATTCTTCGCCATTCAAATCAGGTAGTAACAGATTTTTGCTCTAATCAGGGAATAGAGTGGAGATTCATTCCTGCGCATGCGCCGCACTTCGGTGGAATCTGGGAAGCAGGGGTTAAATCCGCCAAGTTTCACATAAAACGGGTATTAGGTAATGTTTCTTTAGTTTACGAAGACTTTCTAACTATTTTAAATCAAGTCGAAGCAGTGCTCAACTCCAGACCCCTCTATCCAGCTAGCTCCGATCCTAACGATTTAAATCCTATCACTCCCGCTCACTTTCTAATTGGAAGACCTATCACTTCACCGCCAAATCCAGATCTAAGAGACATAAAGGAAGCTCGCCTAGACAGATTTCAAAGGTTGCAGCAGCTTCAACAACACATATGGAAACGCTGGTCCAGCGAATACATCTCCGATCTACAGAGATGAGGCAAGTGGTTTCAAATTTCAAAGGCAATCAAAGTTGGAACACTAGTCGTCATCAAGGACAACAATCTTCCGCCGCTCTGCTGGCTCATGGCTAGAGTCATCTATGTTGATCCAGGGAAAGACGGCATCATCAGAACAGTGTCCCTGAAGACGTCAAATGGTGTCATCAAGAGGGCAGTGGCTACAATCTGTCCGCTTCCAACTGAGGACTTTTGGACTTCTCCAAGGCGGGGGGCATGTTCCGGCAACTTCTGCAGACATCTGCACACATCTGGCAACACCGCCCGAAGAACGAGACATTCACGCGCCGACCATCAGAGCGGACGGGCGTGGCAATCAAGCAAAATCATTCAGACACAATCCATACAGTTTGTTGTTACATTCAGTCAATATACAATAAACAATCATCAGTGTCAAAGTTCATTCATCAATTCATATAGACAGGGCATCAAATGGGATACAATGATATCAAGGTGCTAGACAGAGAAAAGCATCTATCAAAACGCCTGTTTTTGGAAATGTCACATATCTTTATGACAAACAACTGCATGACCAAAAAAGCGGATGTCGATAAAACTTAGCGTCGTCTACGCATATTTGCTGTACTGCGAAAAAAATTGGAAAAGCAACACATCTCCCCCAACATAGATTTATCCCAATAACCGCTCAATCTACACACAATAATTTTTCACTATCTTAATAAAATCAAATCAAATTTTCTCAATGTTTTCGTCCTCAAGTGGTAATACCCCCTACGGATTTTTCAGTTGTTTGATAGGATAACATCCACATCACACCCCTTCCAAAGCAAGTTCTATTGGGTTTTGAAAATTTCTTCGCATTTCATCGGTCAACAATAGTGCAACCTCTTGCACTATAGATTACAAAAACGCCTTACTATTAGGCAACACACTTCACAGTAGTACTCAATGGGTGACCTACCAATAAATTTCAAGGTCACACCTCATACGCTGCTGCAGAATGTCAGTCGTCCGGCACGTGTTGGATAACGATAATTTTCAATAGTTGATAGTTTCAAAATCTACAAATTTTTTCCAAAATCAATCAACGCCTAATTTTAATTAAAACCTTTCAAAATGATTTGCCACTTAACAATAAAATAATTCCGTCCTAATCGAACCTCATCGGTCCAGTTTTTTATTCATCGACTATGTGTTCCCGTCACTGTTGTTTAAAAAACAATTTCAGCAACAATCTCGCCGACTTAGTAAGTAAATAATTTTCTCCTGATTACTATTAGTTGCTATTTTCATAATTGTTTCCAGCTCCAGACGATGAAGAAAAAATTCTTAGAAAGTTTGAGATTTTAAGTTATAAGAGTGTTCTTTTGCAATACTTTGCCTTCTACCCAAATAAATTAAAGGATATCTTCTCCTAACAGAGTAGATGAGCTAGAAGAATTCGACCGCACTAGTTTTTAAATCCGCCGCTAGAGGCGCTGCACAAAACCTAACGAAATCTGTAAAACCATCATGTGTCGTCGACCTTATCGCCTTACCAGTGTTGTTGTGTTCGCCTGCGGTTATGATGATAGTAAGGTGTAGTATACAGGGTGAGCCAGGAATGTTTTATACAGGGTGAGCCAAAAGGTTGGCAGAGAGGGAGAGAGAGAGTGCGGCGGATGATGTATTGGAGAGAGATAGAGATGACGTCATGCGCCATTGATGAGTTGGGGATTTCCCCGCTAGATGATGATGTACACAAACAGAATCTGTATGTGTCATTGATCAGTTGAGGATCTCACCGCAAGATGGCGCTCCACCTGCCATCTGTCAAACATCATGTGTCATCGATGAGTTGATGTTCTCGCCGCAAGATGGCGCCCCACCTATCATCTGTCAAACGTCATATGTCATTGATGAGTTGTTCTTCTCACCGCAAGATGGCGCTCCACCTGTCATCTGTCAAACGTCATGTGTCATTGATGAATTATGCTTCTCACCGCAAGATGGCGCCCCAGCTGTCATCTGTCAAACGTCATGTGTCATTGATGAGTTGTGCTTCTCGCCGCTAGATGGCGCCACACACACGTCATGAGTCGAGTTGTCACACCTGTGATGGCGCGCTGGTGTCTTCACACACATGGGGGGCGGGGGGTCGATAGAAATTTCTCGGGGCCCACCGATGGACCGATGGGTCGATGGGCCGACGGTATATCGTTAGATCGAGACATGTATTACTAAGAAATTATATAGGCAAAATACCGTAACCGCAACGAACGTTTAAAGTGTTTGTTTTTCTCGATAATAGTCGTACTGATAATATGATGTATTTTTATGTTATAATTATAGCGTCATATCGGTCATGGTATTTATATTGAATGAGCGCATGCAGTAGATATAATTCTTTTTTTCGCATTCAACACTACAGTAACAGCCTCAGTAAAAAAGTACTAGAAGAGAGGGGAGCGAAGTAAAAGTGAGTAAGTGCGCTATTTTATCTAATACTTTTCTTTTTTATGTCTCTAATGTAAGCCATACACGCTACGGTGTACCGAAGAGGTGACCTGTGCAGGTTTGCCTGCGGTCTTCAGTTCTGTCCACGATGGCAACGATCGAGGACGATGACGCGCTGGCATTGATAGGCATTGCGGTCATTTTGAAGAAGAAACGTACAAAAACAGTGATAAAAAAGCGAAAAAAGTGGTGTAAACATTGGCTATTGAAGAAGAAAACCTATAGTCATGTTAACCTATTGAATGAGCTAAAATTCGAACCTGAAGATTTTAAAAACTATCTCAGAATGGACGAGAATACCTACATAAAATTACTTGCAATGGTTACGCCCATGATAACAAGAAAGGATACAATTATGAGGAATAGTATTTCTGCGCACGAAAGGCTATCGGTTACCTTAAGATTTCTTGCAACCGGCCGCAGTTACGAGGACCTAAAATTTTCATCAATTATTTCACCTCAAGCGTTCGGAAAAATTATTCCTGAGACATGTGAGGCCTTGTATAAGGTTCTCAGAAAAGGTTATTTGAAGGTGAGTAAATCAAACTTTTTGTTATTAATTGCACTCATTTATTAAGGAACTCACAACTTTAAGAAACTACACAAAAGTCATTGTCGCATATAAATCATGTATCAGCATTAAAGGTTGTAACGAATGATGCTGCAGAATCTGGAATCGATACCAGTACTTCTGTTTCACCGGGTTGATTTCTTGAAAGTGTAGGTGTTTGCATTTGTGAGTAGGGGATGACATGATGACTGTTGAGTAGATGACTAGTTTGTAATAATTGCTCGGAATGTTGACTGGGAACAGGAAGGCAAGGTGGGCTAGGATTTCCTGAAGCAACAAAGCTTACAGGGGTATACGTCCCATGAACATAGTTTCGTTGATTATTTTGTTTCAAAACATCTCGCATGCTTATATAGGCATGATCGGGAGTCAGATGTCCGATTTCTGCTTCGAATAATAAATCATTTATAAGTTTTTCGGCTACTAGTATTTGTTTGGCATCTAACGCCCTCAGTTTAATGGCCACATTTTTCCCGATAAGATCGCAGCGGTCCTCTGTTCGTGGACGCTTAAAATGGTCTCGCACCGAAACCAAAACTTCGTTGGCGATGGAATCATCTAGTCTTTTTGATTTACTCGGTTTCGGTGGGCGAGATGAATGATGATTTGATGATTCTGATTCACTATTGTTAGTTGTTGATTCACTATTGATGTATGTTGTAGTATCTTGCGTGTTGTTTGAGTTTTCTCCCTGAAAACAAAAACAAAAATGATATATATATATATACATACATAGAATGAGTAGTTAGTTTTTAATGCTGGAACTTTGGCTAATACCGTTATCTATGTATTTCAGTTTCCTACATCTGAAGAAGAATGGAAAGAAATAGCAAAGATGTATGAAGAACGATGGAACTTTCCTCATTGTCTCAGTGCAATAGATGGGAACCACATTGCGATTGTTCCTCCGGCTAATAGTGGATCATATTTTTATAATTATAAAGGACATCATAGTGTGGTTCTTATGGCAATTGCTAATGCAAAATACCATTTTGTGTACATAGATGCTGGAATGAATGGTAGAATATCCGATGGAGGGGTACTACAAAATACTGTATATTTTGAAAAATTAGAAAATAATGAATTACATATTCCAAGCAGTGAAACAATAACAGGAAGTAACCTACATTTGCCATATGTATTTTTGGCAGACGACGCCTTTAAATTACGGCCCGATATGATAAAACCGTTTCGCCAGGGAGATTTAACATCCCGAGAAAGAAAAATCTTGAATTACAGATTATCTCGTGCCCGACGCACTGTAGAAAACGCTTTCGGCATTACGATTTCGGCTATATTATACTCATATAAATTTAGAACCCAAAAATATCGATAAAGTAGTTAAAGCTTCTTGTGCGTTACATAATTTTTTAATTGAACACTCAAAAAAGTCTTATGCACCTCTAAAATGTTTCTATCGAGAGAGCTCTGAAAACAGAACTATAATTTCGGAAGGATATGATACAAAAAATAGTACGATGGAAAATTTAGAAAGAAGAAACCCAGGAAATACTTTGAACAAGGCGAAGACTGTTCGAGAAGACTTCATGAATCATTTTAATGCGGAGGGAAGAGTACCATGGCAAGACGATCATGTAAATTAACGAAGTAGTTTCAAATAGCCTTGAACTATCGTGTAATCTCAAATGTAAGCGATAATGTGTTATATACAATTTAATAAAAATTACTATGTACAAGATAGTTTACTTACCTCACAACTATTTTCGTCATCACTGACCAAGTTTGATGAAGAGTCCCTTGGAGTGCATTGATCCTGAATAAAGTTAAATAAATCGTAGTACCACAGCTTAATAGATCGGCAGACTTTAAAGACTGTTCAAATTTCTTTTTCTCCTTTCTAACATTACTTCTCATGTTGTTAATTTTTTTTTACAACCACCGCTTTGCTAGCATCTGGTTCTATTTCTTTCAATTTATCAACCAGTAATTTATAGGCTGCTTCTTTTTTATCCCTATCGTGGTATTCTTTATTTTTTATTTGCCAGAGGCACGGATGAGTTCTATATAAATCAATGAATTCTTCCAACACTTTTCTAACGGAATCTGATGGCGCCATTTTCGCATTTGGAGCATAGCGGAGCAACATTCGCGCGCAACAGTGACTAGAAGACTGACGCGACCTGCGCAGGCGACCGGAGTACATCCACACACGCACAGGTACACCCTACCGTGCCAGTCGAAAGAATTGATTTTCGATTCTGCTCCGGTCGCCTGCGCAGGTCCAGAAACCTGCGTAGGTCTATTCCCACACACGCACCGGTCTACCTGTGCAGGCATACCTGTACAGGTATACCTCTCCGGTAGACCGCAGCGTGTGTGGGAGCCATAAGTGCAACTATGTGTTTTTTTAAAGTGTTCGTGTAAGATAATGATTGTTTCTCGATTTCATTTTTGTTTAGTACGTTTATTTCGTTTTATGCTTCAAAGTAGTAAAAGGTGACTCAATTTTGTTATAGATGGATTTGGCAAAAATTAATGCTACATCTTCGATTGCAACCCGTAAAGCAGTACGAAAATTAAAGGACCTACGAGTTGGAACACCGTTTGCGATACACTCGGCAAAAGTGGTGAATTCTAAATTTGGGGAAGCCGCACTACTGGATTTAGGTCCTGACGTCCTATTTCTACCTCAGCGAGTGACTGAAGTATACCTGCCAGCCATTAATGAACTGTGTGACGGAAAATACGCAATAATTTTCCAAGGTGAAGTGGATATAGGAAAAAGCCGACCCCTAGCATCATTCAGAATAGAAGAACATTAACGGACAGGACAGGTTAAGCAATTTTTTATATATTTTTTGCGTAATTTGTTTGCTTAAAGTGTTCCTTATTTTTGAAAAATAAAATGTCTTTTAGCATGTCTTCAAATAAGGTTAAAAATATCATCAAACAAACAGACGGTGTTCTACTATCAATTATTAGTTTACGAAAAGTTTTATTTAATAATTTTACAATAAGAGACGCGGAAGTGTGGCTAAAACGAATAGAAAGACAAATCAGATTATGTAAAAGGGTAATTCGTAGTAGGAAACAAAATAAATTATCTGTAGGGACTTGTAGAAAAATAGAAACAAATTTGGGGCATTTTCAATATTTTAGAAAGTTGATTTTAACTAGACATATTGGCGCAGGACTTCACTTAATATTGGGTCAGAGGGTTAGATTGGCAAATGTAGAATCAAGCTTTCAAAGCAGAATAACAACCGGTTCTATAGCTAATTTACGTCATAAGGACTTGAACCAATTTTTAGCAGATTGCGTAGTTGTTTTTAAAAGGAAAATTAGTAAAATCCTGCGCTCAAAGTAAATACAACATTTTGCGGAGATTTTATTAGGAAATCGTCGTCGTCGGAGGATAATTTGGAAACGCTTCATCTTATATTAGACTACCAGAACCGATTTTAAAAAAACAAGCTTGTATAAACATTAAAAATAGAGATCAAAATTGCTTTTACTGCGCCATTGTAAGCGCTCTTCGGGCTCCTAGTAATAAAGGACATGCAGAACTAACCTCTTCATATCCATACTTTACTGACGTTTTACAAACAGAAAATTTAGATAGTCCTATGCCGATAATAAAAATTTCAAAATTCGAAAAGCTGAATAATATTTCAGTCAATGTTTACGCTTTAGAATTAATTGAAACAGAAAGATCATCATTTTACACGGTAATACCAGCAAGATTAACGGAAAATAAACGAGACACGCATGTTAATTTACTTTTAGTTCGAAATAAATATTATCCGCATTTAAATGATTATGATGCTCCACCACTAGCGGATGAAGATAATGATTCTATCGATGAGATTAAATATCACTATTGTTGGATAAAAAACCTTTCGCGTCTTATAAGTAGTCAGTTAAATAAGATAAGAAGCATAATAAAAAATTTATTTGCGATAGATGTATGAACTATTTTCAGCAGCAAAACAAATTAGTTAAACATGAAAAACTGTGTTCTAAATTTAACAAATGTAAAATCAACCTTCCTAAAGAGAGCCACGTTGAATTTAAAAACTTTACATACCAACAAAATACTCCTTTTGTTGTTTATGCAGATTTTGAATCTCAATTAGAAAATTATAAAGAAAGTAGCGTCATAAATTTAACTAAAATCGTAAAATATCAAAAACACGTTCCGTATAGTGCTGGTTTCTATGTAAAATGTAACTATGATGATAACCTTTCTTACTTCGAGAGTTATCGAGGTGCAGATTGTATGGATTGGTTTGCGAATCGTATGGCTGGTGTTGCGCAATTTGTAAATTCAAAAATAAAAACAATCGTACCTATGATTGAAAAATTCGACACATGTAAGGCAACATCATGTCATATTTGCGGTAAGAGATTTTCAAAACAAAGAGACATAATCGTTACAGATCACAACCATTTCAGTGGAGAGTTCAGAGGTTACGTACACCAAGCGCGCAATCTGGACTTTAGAACATTGTTCATTGTGCCGGTTATATTCCATAATTTAAGTGGGTACTATAGTCACTTTATGATTTCAAATTTATGTTAAAAAGGCCGCTTAAGCTTACTTCCCATCAACAAAGGTAAACACATTTCCTTTACGCTGCAATAGACTCTTTTCGATTTATGGGGGCTTCTCTTGATGAATTAGCTTCAACTTTAGCAGAATCAGAAAAGAAAATTTTATGGAGGGAATTTCAAAATTTAGGTAAAGATAAATTCAAATTATTAACACATAAAGGAGCTTTCTGTTACGATTACATTGATTCTTTGGAAAAACTAAATGAAACGACTTTGCCCCCAATTGAAAAATTTTACAATAAATTAAACGATATTCGATCTATCGTACCCACAAGAACTGCACGATAATCACAAAGATTTTCCGTTTGCGGCAGAACGTAGCGTACCACCCAGCGGCGGCGGCAGAGGGGTAAAATTGCCGAAATTAATGACAACACTTACAGATAAAAAAGAGTACACGGTTCACTATAAAACGTCTTCAGGATGAATGGAACACTTTTTAACCAGCCAGAGAGCACTCGACGAAGCTGATACGTATTTATGATTACATCATACGGTTGATAAATCTATTCTATTCTATTCTGTATTTCAATTTTAGAGTTTATTCACAATATATCAAGAAAACTCATGTAACTGACCCGTCTATATGTCTGTCAGTCCAATCTATATCGCTCAGACAGCCTGCCTGGTGGTATGTGTATTTGCAACCGCGTAATCGCAGTAATAACTTCAATCATTGCTATTTTTGAATGTATTGCAAAAAGCCTTCCAAGATCGCAAATCTTACCAAAATCATCAATAAATATAGCAAAACATAGGTATGCAAATTTTGTGTAGGTACTTCTCAGGTTTTTGATGACTTTTGATGGTAGTAAGGAATGCCTGTGAAGGTATGAAACATTCTCAAAATCGTCAAGCTATATTTATTTAAAATTGTATTTGTTTTTAGATTATTCCACGGTGTAATATACAGCCAACAGTGAGCAGAAGTCGAGGTCACAGGAAGCAAGAAACTAAGAGCAGTTTTTATGGTAGAGCAAACATCCATTGAAAGACAGTGATAGAGTATAACGATAGTAAAAGTTACTTTCTGGAAGTGCTTACCATAATGTCCTAACCCAACGTACAGGGTATATGAGCAGACCCGCAGCTGAATTCAACGTGGTTAACTTCTGTAGGAATGTCGCGATTTTAGCGTTGGTTTCCGTTGGGGGTACTAGCCCATACACATGGAGGAGGCTGAACATCATGTACGGACCCTAGCAGATCACAAATGCTGAAAATAAAAAAAATTACAGGGCTTATAGGGCTATAGACCGGCAGGCAGGTAGAAAACTTATAAAGGGTGGCCCAATATTCCGTGCACACAGAAGTATCACGTACTTTTTGACTCAAAATAAGCCGACGTGGACATGATTTACCTCTATGCAAAAGTGCTTCGTATGCCCACTAGAGGGCGTCAGAGTTTCCTTCATAGGACATATTTTTTCAGATATTTTTGGAACGAACAGTTCGATTTCGATGAAATTTGGAACCCATGTGTCTTGGAAAACATCTTAATATTTGACTTTCACAAAATCCAAAAAGGTTTGAGAATGGTGCAAACCACCCACACTCCTGGTTAGCTTACTGCAGAATATTTTGGCAACTCTACCAAAGACCCTAACTTTTATTTTATTTGAAGGACCTTTTTGTTTTCTTCAATTTCCGTCTCATATAAAAACAAGTGATCTCGGGTAGTTATCGAGAAAAAAAGTTTTTGGAGCTGGTTTCTGTAACTTGCTTATTACATCATACTATTTGTCATTTATTTGTCTGGGCGGTCCGTAGGACCTTTGCCCATTAGTCACTGTCTGATGTACGTTAGTCGAATCTGTGAGTCCTGGTTGCCCAGAAACCAGACAAAGTCAAGGAAAAAGAGAAAGGGAAAGAGAAGAAAAAAGGAGAAGAGCAAAGAAAAACAGATATGCTTAGTTTAAGAGGAAACACCTAGGCTTTTTGACTTGGTACACGGATTAATTTTGAGGTGAACTAAACAAGTTTTTTTGATTCGGTTTTGTTAGAGTGTAATTTTGAGTTTAGTAAAGGTTCACGCTAACTTTTGATTACAGTGCGAGCCGTGGCCATGAATGTTTACGAACTTGCTCCACTGTGTAGTCCACTGAGTCACGCAACAGAGGGTTGCTGTGCGATTCCGCTTGACTATAACGTTGCTGCGCCTGAAGCTTGACATAATCCCTCAAGTAAGGAATGTCAAGGTCTCTGTGTAGTGTCTCATTTGAGACATACCATGGAGCGTTGCAAATTGTCCGCAAAGTTCTGCTTTGCAGAACTTGAAGACTTTGCATGTGTGTCTTGGCAAGAAAACACCAAGCCGCACATGCATAAGTAATGGCTGGTCTAATAATCATTTTATATAGTCGAACTTTGTTTATCAAACTCAATTTGGAGGATCTACATAACAAAGAATATAGTTGCCGAAACGCAATTTGGAATTTTGTTTTTATGGATGCTGTATGTTTCTGAAAGGAAATGCCTTTATCAAGGGTGACACCGAGATACTTGGCAGAATTTGTCCATGGTACACGATTTCCGTCTACAGAAACCTCTGCTGGGGGGCCGCGACGTTTTTTGGTACAATAAATAGCCTGCGTTTTCGAATGATTAATTTTTATCAGCCACCGTTCCGCCCACTCTAGAACTTCGTCCACCGCATTCTGCAACCCATCATTAACCAGATCACTAGTACACCACTGGGCGACAAGTGCAGTGTCGTCAGCATAGAGGTAGACTTCACAGTTGCTGGGGGAAGGGACATCATGGATGAAAAGCGAATAAAGAATTGGTCCTAGGACCGAACCCTGAGGAACACCGGCCCGTACTGGCCGTGTTGTTGACAAAACATTGTTAATTTTGATCCGAAACTTCCATCCTTCAAGAAAGGATTTCAGTAATTTTAGAAACCAAAAAGGAAAACCCTTTTGGATTAGTTTATAGAAGAGGCCCGCGTGCCACACGTTGTCAAAGGCTTTTGAGACATCCAAAAGCAAGATGCCAGTACTCATGCTAAGGGTGAACCCTCTGGTTACATGCTCCACCAGCCTGACTGCCTGTAGCTCGGTGCTATGCTCGGACCGAAAACCGAATTGGACGTCAGGAATCACATGGTGATTTGACGAAAAATTATCAAGGTGACGATAAATCACCTTTTCGGCGAGCTTAGAAGGAGCTGACAGCAGACTTATGGGACGGTAATCCTGAGGAAATATCGAACCCACCTTCTTTGGAATCATGATGACCTCAGCAGTCTTCCACCCAGCAGGGAAGTACTGGATTTTGAGCGTCGCATTGATTATTGTCAGCAAATATGTCAGGGCTTTCGGCGAGAGCAGCTTCAACGCCTTGTTGGTGATTTTATCCTCCCCAGGTGCTTTACGCACCTTGAGGTCTTTAATATGACTTAGTAACTCCGCTGGTGTGCAATGTGGAAACTCGGAGGGTCCCGCTAATGTGCTATGAGGAGCCTCAGACGAATCTTCTGAAGAAGAGTCATCTGAAGAGGATTCAGTGCCTCCTGACGGATCGTACGATGTGCTGTTCCTGGTCGAGGTCATTATCGAGATCATAGTTGGGGGACAACTGTTTTTTCATGGCATCATCGAAAACCTCGACCTTGTCCTCCGTTCTGAAGACTATGCCTTCAGGACCGTGGATGTGTGGGAGTTGTTCTCGCTTTCCGTTTCTGAGTGACTTTGTGACCCTCCAGAGAGGAATACTTGAATGAAGCATTCCCGCCAGAAAGTCGCTCCATTGCTTGTTGCGGAGTTCGTGCAGTGCGTTTCTCACTTCATGGACAAGATTTGTGGCCCTACGAATGTCATCAGGATGACAAGACCTTTTTGCCTGCTTAATAGCGGCTCTTTTTTCAGAGATTTTCTGACGAATGTCCGCAGGCAAAAAAGGTCTGCCGTGTCGTTGTACACGAAATACAGCTGCACGCTGTAGAGCTGCTTGAATGAAACTTGTCCACTCCGCTTGAGCGGCATCTATTCCAGACTCATCATCTATAATCGGGATATTGGGAACTCTCTAAGGAGCAACTTGTATAGGTCCCAATCAATGCGTTTCCTTGGAGGAGCTGCCTCCTCGGAAGTTTGCTCATTGCCCACATCCAAGACAACAGGTAGATGGTCACTAGAGATATCATACAAGATTCGACAAGAGATACTGTATCTACAGTTTTTATATATCGCGAAATCGATGACATCTGGTGCCTGAAGATGGTTGAATGGATGATGTGTCGGCTCTTCAGTGCTATGTATTTTTTTTATTTCGCATCACATGGTTGTACAATGGAACCCCACTAGTGGAATTCAACCTAGAATTCCATGCTCGATGTTTGCAGTTGAAGTCCCCTGCCACAATAAGCGGACCCGAGTAGTCCAAGAGGACCTCCTGATCCGCCTCTTGTAGCCTGGCACCACACCTGACATACACCGATGTGATCTTCAACGAGACACCTCTCGCCATATTGACCACCACAGAAGCTGCTTCGATGCTATGCATCTCCGCATTAGTGCTTCTATAATAGTCTATAACGCGTTTAATCAACACTGCTAAACCGCCGCCTCGACCATTCAATCTGTCACCTCGGATAACATCATAATTCGGGAGAGCTAAAAGATCTCCCGGATTAAGCAACGTTTCCTGCAGCAAGGCCACATCTATACCTTCATCCAAAAGAGCTTGATGAAATTCCCGTTTTTTGGGAATATCCCTCAAGCCCAAACAATTCCAAAAAAGAATTTTGATGAATGCAGGCTGTCTACTATTGTACCTAGACATTTACAGGAAATATCGCCTGCAACGCTTGGGTAGCGCTAATCAGTGGACTTATTATTTGTTGTAAGGACCTTAGCGCGGTTGCCAGGTCCACATTTTGCGTGCTCAAGGGAGGTTGGGCAGAGGGGGCAGGCAAGGTTGCCTCCCGAGCTGCGTCCGCGTATGATATATTGCGCCTTTGCGCTATAACTTGCAAGTTCCTCCTTGGAGTGAACTTGCAAGTCCGGCTATTTGCGGGATGTCTCTCTCCACAGTTCGCGCACTTGCGTCCTTCCTCTTCTGTGAGGGGGCACAAATGCGTCATGTGGTCCTTTGCACATTTTAAGCATTTGGGCGGTGCAATGCAATATGACTGCGCATGCCCATACTTTTGACAGCGGTGACACTGCCCAATGAGTCTGGAGTTCTTCTGAACCTCAACTCAAATGGCCAGTCCCAGCAGTTCGTGTTCGTTGAACACTTGCTGAGACTTTTCAGTCTTGGGCAGTATTACGACCACCAAAGGCATGGGCGCGCCGCCGCTGCGCTTCAATCGAATGATGTGAAGAGGGCTATATCCGCTCTGCTCCAGTTCACCCTTAATCTCAGTATCCGAAAAGTTGACGGGAACTGCTCGAACCACCGCATGGATGTTCCGTTCCGAAGTGAGAGGAAAAGTGTGATGGGGCACTTCTTCCTCTCGGAATAGGCGAACGGTCCTACGGTAGTCGTCCTCGGATTTAGGAATAATCCTTATTCCCGCATTGGCCGACGGAGTCACCTGACAGGTAGATAACGTGGTCCCTGGCTTGGTAATAGAAGCATTAATAGTGTTTCGATTTGATGAATTGGGGGAGGTGTGAAATGGAATTGATCCTGTATTCGGAAGAGGAGGAAAGACTTGGGTTGATCGATCAGCCTTGTCGCCTTTCCTCCTTCTTGATTTTGCTTTCACAAATCCTTCACTCTGTACGTCTTCGTCTGTGGATGTGAGATGATCATCAGTAACGTTTCTCAGTGGTCTTTTTAGGGTGTTAGTCCGTTCTTTAGGGGATTCTTTTGAATTTAGTAATATGGTTACCTGGGCGGTAAGGCTGTCAATTTTGGCTGTCTGGTCATTGATGGTCTCCATTAGGTCTCGAATCTGCCTCGCCTGGTCGTCTATAATCAGCATCATTTCGATCGTTTTCTGCTCCGATGACATCTGCGTCAGTGAGCTCATGTTTTCTGCTTCTGCTTGGTTTCCGCCACCGCTCAGCTCTTTCCTCATAGTATGTGGAACTGCGTCGTCTGTTGATCCTCCTGGGTCAACTTCCATCTTTTAAAAACTTTTTCTCGCCAACAAATCTCAGAAAACTTATAGCTCGCAAGTGTGACAATGTTGTCAAAACCCTTTTTACAGGGCGTTTTTTGCTTATTACATCATGTTGAAGTTTAGTATGCATCTGATGGCAGAAATTTTATGTTAGTGTGAGACTATTTTTGACAACAAGCTTTCAAAAGTCTGACGATTTGGAATTCGTCGAATCGGATATTTCTCTTGATACACGCGAACACTTTCTCTGTAATTACCTTCGCAGAAACCAAGTAGTAACAACATAGTCTGTTCGTCCAAAAAATATTACAAATTTACGAGAAAAACAAGCAACAACAAGAACTTGACCAAAAATAATCTCAAACATTGATCAATTTAAAATTTATGGAGAATAAGCAACAAATTAACAATCAAAAATAAACTCAGACATCACTCATTAATTTGAAGTTTATGAAGCTTTTTGTCAAAAATAATCTGACACTGACATAACATCCCACATTTCTGCCAACTAGATGCCTACTAGATTTTAACAGTAACTTGGTGTAATAAGAATTTTTTTTAGAAACCAGCTCCGAAATACATTGGTTTTCTTGACAACAACGAGAGATCGCCTGTTTTTAAAGGAGACAAAACATGAAGTAAATTCAAGGATTTTTTGATTAAAAGAAATTCAGAGTCTTTGGGAAAGTTTTCACCATTCTTGGAGCCTTTCGGTTTTCTTTATAATAATCAAATATAAGAACATGTAGCAGAACGCGTTATTTTAAATTTCATTCAAATCGGAATATCGGTTCTAAAAATATCCGAAAAGTTGGGTTCTGAAAAAGACACTTTGACGCCCTCTAACGGACAAATGAAGCACTTTTGAATAGAGGTAAATCACGTTCAATGACTCTAAAATTACCTGGTACCTTTATGTCCACGAAATATTGGGATACCCCGTATAATGTCAAAAAGCCGACAAAATAACCTGATTAGATAGCTCCTAGCGTGCAACTACCATTCATGCTTTGTTGGCTGCAGAATGCCGACATAGTCTGTAGATAGTCTCTGAGAAGAAGTGACTGAGAGAATATGTGTCAGAAGGAAAATTGGTTGAGTAGCAGAGTAGCAAGATCGCATCTAGATGATGGTGCGTATTGGTCTGCATGTGCATAAAATCAGTGATGCTGTTATGTGAGAAAATTATTACTGAACATGTTGCCCATGTAGTATATCTATAAGCTGTGGCAGTGTCTTTTCTGAAGAGAGGTTATGCTAAAAGTTATAAAGCTATAAAGCATCATTTATCCGGGTTTTTGCGTGTTCAAAAAATTTGAGAAGAATTACAGGAAATCACCACCGCGACTGCATTGTGTGTAATTACTGTGAGCATGTACATACATATAGGACTTGTGGTTCGAACAAATTTTTGACAACCAAAGATTTTCTTTTTTTACCTAACTCATTTTTGAAATTGGGCAAATTTGCATATGTCATTTTCAGGATGAATAAGTAAAAGTGGTTGCGCAACTAGTTTGCAGCTTTGCATACATGTCACGCAAGTGTATTTGAGATAAGAATCGAATGGAATTATCATCAAAATAGATTATCCGCACTGACGTTTTGCCCGTTTCCTTCTAGCTATAGTATACGTCTTAGAGCTTAGACCTCCAATAATTCCATCTCTGAAACAGATGCTATATCACATCAGAGCCAAACCATGATAGCTCAACACGTACAGCTATATACAACGAGTGCACACCAAGCGATCAACAGCCACTTCCAAGTTGACGTCTTATAGGAGAATTTACATCAAGGCACAAAAAACTACGTAATGTTAAAAAAACGAAATAATGTCACTAGTCACAAGTAACTCTGCCGGTAGTAATTGCATCTGATGGGAAAATATTCTGAGTCGGATTTTCCGCATAATCTTCTTCAGAAGGGGCCCCTTTTAAAGAATCTGTTCGCAGGCCCACATTTGCATCATATTTTTTGAAACAGGTTCCAAAAATTATTCTTTTCATCCCGTCAAAGTGTTTTAAGGATCTTCGACATAGCAACAAAGAATGTGCTTTAGAGCGTTTCTCTAAAATTGGTAGTTTTCAAGATATAAGCCATACAAAAATTCAACTTTAAAGAAAAATCCTACGGCAGTTTTTTGTTCATAAACTTAGTAACATTTTGATCGCAACAAAAAAATTCTTTAAAATTGTTCAAAAAAGTTCTAAAAAAAAATTTGACGCAAATTTGGGGCTGTGAACATGCAGATTTGTTGAAACGGGCACTTTCAAGATAATATTGTGCAAAATATCTGAATTGGAATATTTTTACGTTCAGATGCGAAGATACTACTCGATCTATTACTAATAACATAATCATTTAATTCCGCCGAAATAATTGTAATGCTTGGTTTTATTGATACAAGTTGTTCATGGAGGATATTTGAAATAAGGACCGGATAAAATGGGTACACCAATTTTTTACGGAAAGCTTTGTATTCATCATTAGAGAATGAATCGAGAGTATTAGCATGAACGAAAAAATTTTTTCAATAAGGTTTCTAGGTACCTACTTAAGATACCTACAAAATGAGACCACGCATAAAAAGATCTGATTGAGAGCAAAAAAGTTTGGTCTTAGTCAGAATGAATATTTTGTCACTTGTTGGTAGGGAGACGATAGTGTCACGCAGATACTTGAAACTCCTCATATCGGTGGGTTTTACACTTCTAAAATGCCACAACAAAATAGAAGTCGATTGATCAAGTAGTTTTTACGAGTTTCTAATTGTTCATTCCAAAGCACCAATTTTCCAGCCACCTCTACCAATTTATGGGGCAACATACAAGGGCATTTTGTTGCAAAATACACAAATTCATCTCGCGGATATGAATCACAAACCATTTCGAAAGGTAAACGTTATTTTCATGCGAAAAAAAAGGTTACTTTTTTTCTTACAAACAAATCTGAACATTTCGTATTTGTGAATAATCCAACGGTTTCGTTACAATAATCTGTTGTTATACAAATTCTAAAAGTAAGCGAATTCGTCTATAACTTTTTGTTGCGAGCAAAACTTTTTTCCAGGTTTCTTTTTTATAAAAAATAACTTTATACAGAAATGCAATGAATTGCTGATGACCTTGACTCGCAAACTAAAGGCAATTATGTTGGAAACTGTCTTAGCCTACTTAATATGTAGGATGTGCTGTATGGCTAAATTATTGATGGCTGCATGACTTTGTTAAACAGGTCACTTAATCCATTTTCTTTCCTAAGAAAAATAATTTCCTGTACCTTGTGGACAAATATCAAAAAAATTGTAGCGGACTGACCGTCTGACAAATAAGGCAAAATGTTCGGTGTTACTCCTTAATACATAAAGTTTCAGCGTTTTAACTTGCAGAATTTCCAAGATTGTCGTAATTGTTTGTAACAGATTTGGTGTGCCGAGATCGTACGCATGAGATTTGTCATTTTCAAGTATAGTGGTATAAAGGTCCATTAGAGCAAGAGGCGTCGAGGTGTAGTAGAAAGGTAATTATTTTGCAGAACCGTAGGACGTAGGTTCGAATCTACAAAGCAGACTTATTTTTCTGATCATTACTTTTTTATTAATTCGGTAAAATAAATACTATTTCACAGTATGTGTACTTATATTGTGACTAAATAGCTGTTCGCACGCCATAGACCATGTAAGCTTGCTAATAGGAAACCAGCAGTAAATGGATAACTCTTTATATATTTTCCTTACTTTGATAAAATTTCAGAAACTCTATGTCGAATCGTAGCAGGTAATTTTTGAAAACATATATCTCAGATGACTGTGTAAATTATTAACCAGAAGAATGACCTTCGTCTAAGAATAACTTTCACCTTTCCAAATAGTTTGTGATCCATATCGGACAGCTAAATGCGTATATTCCATTATATTCTCGCCCACAGACCTCACTTTGTCAGACCCTATGTATCGTTTTCCCCAACCCCTGATCATTAAGAAAACGTGAAAAACAGATGGTCCTTAGTTTGTACCCAATACGTTAAAATTTGTATATCGTACTTCGGCGTTCCGCCGCACCCGGCGCTGCGTGCGCGGAATATATTTCCAGTACGTATATATTTTGCAATCAAGAGAAAACCGTGCAACGCAACAACGGTCGGACCTCGGAAGGTGGGTCGTACGAACAACGAACATTCCAATCCACATTATATATTTCTTATGTGTGTCAGACCTAATCGACGTAAGCCGCGGTAAAGACGTCGGGGTGAACTGAAGGGTGTGTTTTTATGGTTTATGAAATTGGTCTCATAGTAGGAAAGCAGTAGATACTTTTTCGGTTTATAGGAGGACTCGATCTTTATATAAAATTGAAAAAGATGCCTTTTTGAGGGAGAAAATCTTGAGACAG